CATTTAGCAATTAAGTAATTGAATGCAAAGGCTTCTACATGCCTAAACATAGGCATAGGACCTGACTTAAAGGCCTAACTTCCCTCTATATTAAATGGTAAAAGTTCAGCTTAAGAATGGGATCTCCAGTAGCAAGAAAGTTGAAGAGGAATGCCTGGGGGAAGGCGGGGGGAGAAGGGGAAAGGGGAAAGCGGAAGTCAAACCCAGAAAATAATAAGCTGCCTTCTTTTTGGATTTTTTGCATTGTATTGTGAATCATCTACTTAAATTTAGGTACTTAAATTTGAAGCCTCATTACTTAAAATACCTTCTAGAGTCAATGAGCCACAGGCATTTCTGAGGGATGTGGTATCTAAATTCAGATCCATTTGATACTGAATTCAGAAGGAGAATGCTTATCATATAAAAGACAGACCTATGCTGCCTGTCTTTTGAAAGGGGAAGAATTTAATTTATCACAGTTAAGTTCCAACCTCCATTTTCTGGATCCTGAGGAAATAGTAATGAATGATAGAATAGAATCATAGAATAGTTAGGGTTGGAAAGGACCTTAAGATCATCAAGTTCCAACCCCCCTGCCATGGGTAGGGACACCTCACTCTAAACCATACTACCCAAGGCCTCGTCCAACCTGGCATTGAACACTGCCAGGGATGGAGCATTCACAACCTCCTTGGGCAACCTATTCCAGTGCCTCACCACCCTAACAGGAAAGAATTTCCTCCTTATATCCAATCTAAACTTCCCCTGTTTAAGTTTTAACCCATTACCCCTTGTCCTATCGCTACCGTCCCTAATGAAGAGGCCCTCCCCAGCATCCCTATATGCCCCCTTCCGATATGGGAAGGCTGCTAGGAGGTCTCCACGCAGCCTTCTCCAGGCTGAACAGCCCCAACTTTCTCAGCCTGTTTTCATATGGGAGGTGCTCCAGTCCCCTGATCATCCTCATGGCCCTTCTCTGGACTTCTTCCAACAGTTCCATATCCTTTTGATATTGAGGACACCAGAACTGCACACAATACTCCAAGTGAGGTCTCACGAGAGCAGAGTAAAGGGGCAGGATCACCTCCTCCGACCTACTGGTCACACTTCTTTTAATGCAGCCCAGGATACGGTTCATTTTCTGGGCTGTGAGGGCACACTGCCGGCTCATGTTCATTTTCTCGTCGACCAGTCCCCCTAAGTCCTTCTCCGCAGGGCTGCTCTGAATCTCTTCTCTGCCCAACCTGTAGCTGTGCCTGGCATTACTCCGACCCAGGTGTAGGGCCTTGCACTTGTCATGGTTAAACTTCATGAGTCTGGCATCAGCCCACTTCACAATGGTGTCAATGTCCGTCTTTATGGCATTCCTTCCCTCCAGCATATCAACCGAACCACACAACTTGGTGTCATTGGCAAACTTACTGAGGGCGCACTCAATCCCACTGTCCATATAAGCGATGAAGATGTTAAACAAGGCTGGTCCCAACACCGATCCCTGAGGGACACCACCCGTTACTGGAGGGACACCACTCGTTACTGGTTCATGTTTTAACAACTAAACAGATTAGCTTTTCCCTATTACTTAGTTCTAGCTGTATGTTGTGTGTCTCAGAGTCAAGAAAATAATTTATGGAATGGAGTGATTCTGTTCCTTTGAATTGCCTTACTGCAAGCAAGAATTTAATTAGTAAATTCTAAAATGCCCAAAACATGCTGCTGTTCTGAGTATCAATTTTGATGAAGCTCCTGAACAGGTTGGAAAGTTCTTTGTTTCTACTTAATGTGATGTGAAAAGATGAAGAGAAAAAAACCTGTCCTGATAATCGAATTCTAACATGTGTGCTATGCTGCACAATTGGCCTGCCAACATTACTCCGATACCAGTGAAATTTCTTAATTTTAAACAAGGGGTTTATGCAAATATTTGCCATGGTATTTTTAGTAAAGGGTTTTGACAATTTTCTAAGCTGCTGATGTTTTTGAGTTTTGTTTACTTTTTCTTTATTATCGAAGGAAAAGGATAATTTGTTATATTCTAGTTGTACTGGGTTTGATTTGAGATAAAACCTTGTGTTCAAAAGTATTAAAATGAAGCGTGCTTTTTTGTATATGCAGAGTTCCAGAAATGCACAGTATGTTAAAAATTCGTATTTGATTTGATATCATTATTGTAATGCAGCATATACTAAGTCTTGTTTAATGCCTCAGAATTCTTGAAGCAGACAGCCAGAGTCATATCATTGGACATGATTCCTGTGTAAACAGTTTTGTTCTCTTCTTTAATTCTTATGCACCTAAAATCCCCCTAACCTGTGCTCAGCATCATCTGCTACTCTCTGACCCTTCTTAACTCAACTCCCTCACTTTCATCCATTTGGAAGCTGTTCCCTCTCCTTTTCCAAGAAATCTCATTTCCTGACAATCATCTTCACTCCCCTAAGACCCTGCTGCAGAAGAAATTCTGTCTGCACTGCTCAAAAACCCTTGAGTCTTTGAAGGTAAAAGCTGAAGAAAAGCATTATGCCAGCTGTTGAGTCTGAATAGATGAGGTGTGACTGAAAGTCTCCTTACCCTACAGTTCAGCATCAAAGTATATATATAAACCATAACACATGCTTTACCTAAAAAGAAACAATGCATAATTCCTATATGTCAAAGCTATATTTCCAACAGTCTGTTCTCTATTTATAGGTTCTTAAGCATATTTTAGGGAATCTGGGTTGTCATTCCATGTCCTTTTTTGGGGTGGAGTGAGGTGGAATGTATGCAAAATGAAGAAAATGATACCGTTTTAGGCTTTGCTCACTTTTCCAGATCTAGGTTTCTATAATGTAGTTTCCTTTTCTGTAATAACATGGTGGTGTCATATATTCATCATGCATTTGAAACTTCTGTGAAAAAAAATCATGTAATTGCAACTTAATAGTTTTCCCAAAATGCATAGTTCCGGAAATCCAAAACCTGTATTGTTAATCTTACACTGTATGATGTCTAAAATTAGTGCACTTCATCAAGAGTTACGGAAAAGACTGGACTTTTTATCTTCCAAAATTTGTCTCCGGAAATGAAAAATTGCTGTTCATACTGTAGCACACAATATTTTCATTTTTTAATTCCCCTCTAATTTTTCCCCATCCTTCACTTAGCATATCTCTTCTCTCAGTTAATAATTTAGGTGAGCTACCTTCTTGTGAAAATAAATAGAAGCAATTAATGAGATTCACTGTTAATTTGTAGCTGCCATTTACACAAAGCTGTAACAAAGCGTTTTTCAATTGTACAGGGAATAATTTAAGCCAGTGTCTAAATATTACTTTAGTTTGCAGTTCTGATAGTATTTATGACATCAGGATTATTATTATTTTCTTTTAGATTTTACCAATAATGTCAAAATAGACTTCTGACTCTGCAAAAAACTCAGTAAATTACAGCAGTGGTTTTACACAATCTAATTACAGTTTACCAGGTGTGTTTAAAAGAAGACCTTTTACGTGGTCTAAGTAGAATGCAAAAAGCAACTAATGTGTTTTAAACACAAATGTCTTTTTATAGCTCTCTGTGGAGGAAATATAACTGCAATGAATGGCACCATATACTCTCCAGGATACCCTGATGAGTATCCAAACTTTCAAGACTGTTTCTGGCTTGTAAGAGTACCACCTGGAAATGGAATCTACATCAATTTCACAATTCTTCAAACAGAGCCAATATATGATTTCATAACTGTCTGGTAAGAAAACACTTTTAGCATTTTATTATTTTTTTTTATCTTCTTGTGACCCTATGCAGCAAAGTATGTATTAAAAAGAGTATATTTGTGATTTTTCCCTTGAAACTGGTGTTCTCTCCAGGAGAAATTGCACTTATTCATGCTTTTTAATGTACCATTCTAGATAGCACTAGACATGAAGTTTCATAGCCCTTGTCTTAAGAATTCAAAAATGATACTAGTGTGCCTCAGTTTGTTAATGAAGTGTACAGAAGAATCAATATGGTAGGTCATCACCAACTAAGAGAAAAAATGTTGAGCGATAATAAGCAGTTGCAGATGTGTGTAATACAAGAAACTACAGCAACACTTTCTTAATTTCTTGCAAGTTTTTTTTTTTAAACTGATAAGAGTACAGAAAAGAAGAGACTATATTTGGCTATGACAAGAAGAGCTGAGCTGACAATAAATGTAAACAAATCAAATTTTCTATTTCCTTGATTCCATGTCTGTCATAAATCTTTTCAGACATTAAAGTCTCAATTAAAGCCCCCATTGCCCTTATTTGCAAAGTTGGTAAAGTCAGAAGGATGTAAGGAAGTGTAACATCTCCAACAGTAATCTTGAAGTTGTTACCAGTGAGTTACCTAGACATTTCTACAGTGGTTAAGACCTTTTGGAAGCTTGTTTAAAGCAATAATCCACTGGTAATTGAATCAGCAGGTTGAAAATCCACAGGTTGAGAAAGTAGTCTTGTAGTCTGAGTAGTGCAAAATAATGAGAGGCAATTTGGAATATTAATTATGAATTTTATGTTTCTGTTGTATGAAAATCTAATTTCGATTCATATAAATTCATTTAATTGAGGATTTCATTCCTACTTTCCTAAACATTAAACAGTTCTCTACACCCTTTTGTGAACGTTTCTGTAGGTCCTGGAGTTTTTTTCATCATGTGTACTACAAACTGTCTTGGCCTGCATCCTGGATACTTGATCGCTTTGTCTTTAACCAGAATTTGATCAGAATATGTACTCAGACTATTGCTCTGATAAAAATCAGATAATTTGAATTCCTTTAATTCTTCACCACATGCTTTGTGTATCAAATTTAAGCTGACTTTCAGAATCTTTCCTGAATTAAATTACACTTTTGTGTTAATACAGATATCTTTTCTCTATTTTATCCCCCAAATACTAGAACACCACTGTCCACCTTTAGTGCTGCTTCCATTTGGTTCTTCTGTTCTACCAAGTGATTTCATGTGCTAACAGTTGTCCTGGTTGTGTTACTGTCGTGGTTTAAACCATGTGTTGTATGAAAGGAGAGAAGGTTAACACCCCCCTTGATAAGGATGGAAAAGGCCCTTCTGGCACTGCCACCTAGTTTTGGTTTTTTTTTTGCACCCAGCATGGGGCTTGAAGGGTTGAGATAACGACAGATCTGACCAGATTAATAGTCACTCGTCACAATTCTGATTTATTGGCTCTCAAAGTTGTTTCTCGATCTCACAGTTTCAGAATGTAGTACCTTACTTAGAGCCAGTATTTGCTGTGTTAGTGTTTATCAAGTGTGGGCCTTGGGCTAAGGTTCTTTGTACTTTATGGCAATGATTTCTAATACGAGCAGGCTCCAGCAGCAGAGCAGGATGGACGTGGCTGTGGACTTACACCTGGCCATACCACTGCTCTTCACCATCCTGGCTCTTGTCCTTGCCTTCATTTTTGTGAGGCCGCAGAGAGCCAAGGGGGAGTGGCCCCAGGAGCCAGCAGCAGCAGAAGCAGCCTGGGAGCATGGCACCGTGGACCAAGCGGCAGTGGAAGCGGGACCGGAGGCTGGCAGGAAGTGGCTGCCGGTGGAGGAGGTCGGGGCGGTCGAGGAGCGGAAGGAGGTGGCTGCCGAGCAACAGGAGAAGGCAGCGGAGGAGCCAAGCCCTGCAGAGGAGCCAAGCCCCGCGAAGTAGCCGAGCCCAGCCCCGTGACGGCTGAGAGCATTCCCCAGAAGCTGCACGCCGAGCCCCAGGAGGATGCAGGAGACCACACAGCATTCCTAGCAAGGCACAGGAGGAAGAGCTGGACTCAGAAAAAGAGAAGCTGGTGGTTGGGAGAGCCAGCAAGCACAGCAGCTACACCAGCCCCAGGGACAAGTACAGCAGCATTGTTTGAGAGTTCTGAAGGTTTTGAATGGCCTTTGGGTATCCTTGGGACCTGCCTGCTGATTGTGATGAGGATCAGCATGTTGGCACACACACAGACTGTGTTTTACCCATGACCATTTTGTCTGATCTCAAAAGTTAAACAGAGTCAGGTTTGGGCCTTGTCTGGGGTTAGACAACGATATAGGAGGACCAGGAGATTCTCCCCAAGGCTGGATAGTCATGAGCTGCAGAGCTGCAGGGTGTGTGGGACAGTATGGACAAGTATCTAGTCCACTAGGACCCTCCAGTGCTTTGGAAGCGTGGGAGATGGAAGGCAGCTGTATGGAGTCCCCAGCAACAAGCTGCAGAAACTGCTGAGAGGGAGAGTGAATTATTTTGAGCCTGGTGGGCCCATGACACTTCAGGCCATCAGGGCAGAAATGTAACATAGAGATGGACTCATGATCGAGGGGTGGACTTAGCAATGGACGCTACTGCTCAGGTGATTCACGAGTGTGAACACTGCACATAGCCTCTCCTGCTCTGAAAGTCTGTTACAAGAGATGGAGCCTGACATCATGGACCAGATGGACTCAGCAGCTTTATAGGGACCGATCCATGCACTAAGATAAGAGTGCACTTAGATAAGCATGTTGGTATATGGAAAATGTGGGATCTGAGCAAGATGTGAATGGTATGGAATAAGGGGTAGATACTGTCCTGGGTTTAGCAGTAGCGGTCATTTTTCTCCTTCTTAGTAGTTGGTGCAGTGCTGTGTTTTGACTTTGGGCCTGGGAACAGAGAAGATAACACCAATATTTTTAGTTACTGCTTGAATGTTTAGGCTGACCAAGGACTTTGTGAGCCTCATGCTGTACCAGGGAGGAGGGGAAGCTGGGAAGAAGCAGAGACAGGTCACCTGACCCAAACTGACCAAAGAAGTATTCCATATCACAGCACATCATGCCCAGGATATGACTGAGTTACCCGGAAGGGCTAGGGGACTGCGGGGTTGGATGAGGTATCGGTCGGTGCTTGGTCGGGCTGAGGGGAGCAAGTTATTGGTCAGAGGGTGATGAGGTGTTGTATTCTCTTCCTTTGCTATTTCCCTTATCATTATTATTATTGGTGGTAGCAGTAGCGATTTGTGTTGTACCTTAGTTACGAAACTGTTCTTATCTCAACCTGTGGAAGTTGCATTCTTTTCGATTCTCCTCCCCTCTCCGTCCCTCCGGGAGTAGGGGGAGGGAAAAAAGGGAGCAAGTGAGTGAATGAGCTATCTGAATGGGTTTCAGCCATGACAGTTACAAATTTAGATCTTACACTAAAATTAATTGTCTATACTATGACCCAGGTTTTGTTCATTGTATGTTCTTTGCTGATGTTTTAAAATGTTTTGTATCTTGTTCAGAGTAACGTCACTTTTATGAGAATATTCTGTAATTAAAGCGTCTGTTATGCTATTGATGTATATTTTATTTCACATTTCACCTAGAATGTTATGCCAATAACAGGAAATTTAAACTTTCATTATTTAATGTTGATCAATTTTGATCTGAAAGGAAACAAGTAAAAAAAAATAATGCCTTTGCTTTATGATTCTGTACTCTGTACAGTTCCACTGTTGTTTAGAGCTAACTTTGGTTTATTTTTTCTATTTAAATGAGTATTTCAGTTTTGCATTAGGTAGCAGTGACCATACCAGCAGTACCTGTATTTAAGATAGCATTGTAACATTTAATTGTCTGGGGGAGTTGGGGGGAGGGAGAAGCTATGTTAAATAATGTTGACATTACAGTATAAACATTTTTAATGAAGCCAATATTAACTTATTTTCTTTTTAAAATTGAATTATGATCATCTTTTATTTTTCTTAGAAATGACCAAATTCAGAAGACTGGGGGACATGAGCAGTATTCGGTTTATTTATTCTCTTATAGCCCCATTTGAAAATACAGATATGTAAACATGATCAGTATGTGGCAGGAAGATGAAGTACAGTCAAAAATTAAAATATTTTTTTGAACGAAGAAAAACCTTTATGTATCTGTTTCCTTAGGGATGGACCGGACCAAACTTCTCCTCAGATTGGACAATTCAGTGGCAACACTGCATTAGAATCAGTCTATAGCACTTCCAATCAGATTCTAATCAAGTTTCATAGTGACTTTACTACCAGTGGCTTCTTTGTACTTAGTTATCATGGTAAGTGTGACAAACTGCAATATTTCACTATCTGCAGAGATTACTGCAGAAAGAAAATTCATGAAAAAGTTTCAATTAATTACCTATTTTTCGGAGAAGAGTTGTTATTATTAATAGGACTGATCACCACGTAAGTAATGCAAACATATGAGAGACAATTGCAAATTATGAAAACAAGATATTTTCTTACCACATAATAAATTTACTTGTAATCGAGAAAAAACAAACAAACAAACAAAATCACTGCGAAGAGTGCTGAGCAAAGTATGTACCATTAAGACCGTACAGTTCAAGGTGCTTATCTTCTCACTGTTTTCAATGTTTCTAAAATATGGTTACTCACTAGAAACAAATGATTTTACCTGGTTACAATATAAATTTTATGACTGACAAAAAAATATTGACTAATTTAATTACTAAAGTATCCCAGCACAGGAAGTAAGAAAGAGGTATATAAATGTAGTTGAATCATCATCTGCCATAAGTAGGTGATGTTTCCTTGCTAATGAGAGATGCTACATGAACATGTAGTTTCAGTGAAAACCAGAAACACTGATCAACCTGAAGGTACACCTTAAAATGTAGATGACTATACATACTATCAGTATAAGTACTTCAGTGTGATTTCTTTGGCCTATTTCTGTCCTGATTGAGTTCAGACCGAAGAGAATTTTGTTTGTGTCCAAACACAGACTCATCTGCACAGTTTATCTGTGAAAAAAAAATACAGCTATATGGCTTCTGCCTCCTCTTCCTATTTGTCTTCTTTTATCATTTTTTTCACTTAATTATTTTGCTTACGCCTGTTTTAACTCAGAAATTGCATACGCATGTTTTAACTCAGAATTTTTTTTCATGGGAAACTTAGAATTTGAAGTTTGAAAGCAACATTTTTCCCTGAGAATATGTGCAGGTGAGATGGGCTCCACAGTATTTATTTACTGGGAAATTTCACATTCAAACTGGTTCTGTCCATCAGTTATGTTTCATCTAGGTAGAATACTTTGGATTCTAAAACTTGTCTTTTTTACAGTTTTAAAAGTGGAAGCATTCATCAGTAAAAATGTATTGTGAAAAACCCAAACCAAAATAATGATTGTATAACACATAAAATACATGCTTTTCAGATGAGATCACATAAGTGAGAAAACTGACACCTGTTTCTAAGCTTTTAGGTATTTATAAAGAGGGTTTTGCCACTCAAATTAAATAACTAAGATCACAGGTGCAACTTCCAATTTTCCTTAATTCTGAAATTAATATTTCCTTTGTTAGTTCTCTTGAAAATTTCAAAGTAAATGAATAGATGTTTGATTTGATGCTATTAATGTGGTTATTGAATCAGGTAGGTTTACATGGAAGAGTTAACTAAGTATTGGAATGTCAACTATGCTTTCTTTCTGTTTATAGCCTACCAGCTCCGGGTGTGCCAGCCTCCAACAAGTATACCAAATGCTGAAATTTTAACTGAGGATGATGAATTTGAAATAGGTAATCAAAGAGAAAAATAAAAGGAACTTTTTCTTTCTTTAAAAAAAAAAACACAAAAAAAACCCCCAACAAACCTGAAAACAGACATTTCTTGTTTTTCAAGATGCAAGCCATGCTTGTAAGATGTTAGGTTTATATCTGAAAGTAATTTTTTTACAAAGTCATTCCTCTTCCTTTAACTTCATGAATCCCAGATATATAAGTAATACAGTAATTTGTTTCTAATTAGCTTCATTTTAAAATAGATTTTTCATAATGTTTAATAGGAAACAAACAAAACCCAAAAGATGACATAAGACAGTGGTTTATTCTGTAGCAGAAATAAAGTATTGTGACCTGAAGAATAAAGTCAAATTTGTAAAAATTACAAAGATCTGAGAAGGGGAGGACATTCTGGACTTCTAAAACATATTAAAATATTACCTAAACACCTATATGTCAAAGAAATATGATTTATAAGATCAAATTTAAATTGCAGACCAACTGATTCTGCTCTCATTATGGCAAAGAAAAATAAATTTATTTCTAGTAGAGTTCAATATTAGAGTCCAATACTGGTAACAAAGAGA